ACGAGCAGATCTGCCTGGGTTAAATACCGGCCATAAGTCGGAATAAGTTGAAGGTTTAGAAATAAAAATAACGACTTTCCAGACGGCTCCAGATAAACGACAGATGTGAAATAACCAATATGAATGTGAAAATGAGTGTGTTTCGCTTAATCAACCCGGAGGGTTGCTGGAAACACTTTGATAGCCCATGTGCGGTCTTGGATGTCTTAGCAGCGTAATAGCGGTGTGTTATACCAAGAAAACGTACTACGCCATCTTGAATACTGTGTCAACCGAAATTCCAGGCAACCTTGTCACAGCATATTCAACTCATAAACGAGAGTTTCAGTGGATTCTCAGACCCGCAGATGAGTGTGTTTCGCTAACTTGGTTTAGTCTTTGCGCACAACCACAGGTGTTTCTCCACTCATCGTCGTGTATATCAATGATGCACACGGTCTTGAATTAGTGTAACCTCACTTGATCAGCTTATTGGCGGAGTATCCTATATCATTGCCACAAGTGGTCCTGGATATCAAGAATCGAACAACACTGCTGGATGCTTGTCACTCCGGATTGAGGTTTAAACTGAAAAAGATCTACTGACTACGGACAGTTGCAGTGAAATGTTAGGAATATTCGGGTTCTTATTTTGATTGTGCCGCGCTGAAATACTTCCATTTATGTGGTTGAGTAAATGGGAATCCTTCTCAACGAAACCAACTAAAGTAGGAGTGTTGTTCCAGAAATCATGGATGTATCACAACGATTTGCATTTCGAAGTGCCACCATGCATGCTGCTTAACCAAGCGATTAGTCACCTGAATCTAGTGAAAGGTGTAAACTTCCTGGTGCCTGTCTGGCATTGTGAACACGAACACACTTCTTCAACCATATAATGACTATGCTCAAGCCAAACGTTAGAAATGATCCAGAACATCATCATCATCCATATCATGACATCAGTGTACGAACACCGACGTTTCACTGCCGTACAACCATGATTTATTTTAAAGCCTTATTGCAAAGAAAAGAGTAAAGGTGGACGGGGAAAGGACTTAGTGTTAGCTTACCACAATCACTTCCAGACATTCACTCAGGCCATCTGGATAGAAATTGACAACAAGAACGCCATATCTTGTAGTGTATTCAACCAGGCATAGTGAGGATCACGCGTTCCCCATACTGGAAGCCGACAGCACCCAAGCGTTTCTTGGTCTCCTTCATACTCCACTGCCAAATCGAGGGTTGGCCACCTCTCTGTTTACGCCAAACGATGGTTCGGCATACGCAACCCACGTCCCACCCAAAGTCGCCTTACGGTGGCTCATGAGCTGCTGACTCGAGCGAGATTCCGGCGTGGTCGGGGTTGCGTTGACCAAATCGTCAGGTACTAGGTCAGCGCCATACTTAAAAGCGACCCACAATTCTAGTATTCCTGGATTTCTGAGGCGCATTTGACTCGGTTGACCGATCTGATGAAGAGCATTCACGAGTTCCTCAGGTCCTACTTCCACAGGACTCGCTCGCTGATTCGCAGTGGGAATTCGGATATCCAACACACAAATTCAACCAAAGATATGCAAGCCAATTATAGGTTGACCTCTTATAATGTTGGTAAAATTCCTGTTTTAGCCAAAGTTAGATTATTAACCGGTGGACGTCTTGCTTGCCTTCCAAACGAGTTGAATGTCTAATCGTCTGAAAGTTGCTGTTGGAATTCAGCTAATTATCGATTAAAAAACATGGGTTGCTCTGATCATTCTCTGCCGATCTGGAATAATGTTTTATTGGTATGTCAGGCAATTGCCGAGTGTGGTTTTTGTTTGGTTCTACACAATGACCTTGTTGTTTGGACTGTAATGACATTATCTGGTCTGTTCAAAACTCATTGAGTTTAAACGAAATGATAACACGACAGCCATTTAAACCCTGCAGATACATACTTTGTTTAACGTTGATCAAAGTTACCGGTATCCTGCGCTTTGCTGATGAATAACACCCTCATCGATGTATCGATGTATCGAACAATTGCTTAGAATTATTAGGTATGCCGCTGGAGATATCGCTCCAACATGGCATCCAAAGTAATGAAGATGTCTGCTTCTTTCGAACAACCTGTAACCGAGGCTTGATTAAAATGCGATTCTCCTCACGTGGAAATATCTGCATTCCCAAAAGCGCTATACAGGATGGGTTTTCTTGAAAAGTAGACAACTGGTAGACGGAGAGTGACGACGACTGCTTCGATGACTTCCTTCGCCTACAGAAATCTATGATGTGTCCCACTGTGCCAGTCAATAGGTGGGCGCATTCTCGTGACTGTCATTCAGATTGGACTTTATGTTCCATGCTATTCGACAGATTCATAGCTGGCTTGAATCATGCACTTTTTGCTACTTAGCTGTGGACTTCATTCTTCTTGAATACTTGCATCGTCTCGTCGAGGAGACAACTCATCTACCAACGATTTCATCCATCGTGGATCGATATCATGAATTACTACTGTCGCACGCATCTACGGAATCTGCTGACTTTCTGTCAGGTGACGACCTGATCGATTCACTGGCTAATAGCGATTATCGATCTGAACAGGGTTCAGCCAGTTGACCCTGTCCAGTCACACTTCTGTTACGCAAATCTCAACCCCCCGGATGACAAATTTCAAGGTTGACTTAAACGAAATTATCAAGTTGATACACACATGAAGTTTGGTCTTGACGCAGACCGCTTCTGCACGTGTTCTGCTCAACGTTGACCCACAAGTTCTTTTTGTTGGCAGGCTAGATAAGGTAAAATGATACCGTATTGTTTGGCACGTTCTGTCTCGTTCTCAAGAACTTTTCGTTTTGCGAAATAGACCTATCTGCGCGCCGAATCGATTTTGACTGGAGACTCAATTGAATTACAGCTGAATAAGTCGTTTATGATTTCGTCCTTCAACTGAATGTGCTTCCCAAAAGATGCCTCATGTTTCGGCCGGTGCCATATTCAAGATTGTGCAGAGTAGTTTCTTGAGGTAGCACTGCTCATATGCTTGATGGAAACTCTTCAACAACCCATGACCGGTTTCGTCCTTGTTGGGCCTAATGGGGTAGGTGAAGTCCCCGAAATTGTGTTCTACTTGAACCCAAATTGCGCAAAATTAGCGAAATATTCTCTTTGGCATACCAGTCTGGCTTCGATTGGAAGTTCATTTAAATTTCAGATGAATTTGTTTTGGAAATAGAGGCAAACTTCAGTTGATGAACATCATAAAGCGTGTTATAAACCACCCCTATGAAGTGAACCGGAAAGATCAGTTTTTATCCTTTTACTCATTTCTCTCAGTGATGGACGTTTTGTAGGTTCATTAATGACAACAAGTGTTTTGATACTGTTACGGTTGTCCTCATCTTGAAGGACGGCCCAAATAACTGAACGAGTTCGGTCGCTTTCAAGGGCTAACAGCCCTCCACAGGCCATGAATGAAATCGGTAGATACTCACCAAACAAGGGAGAAATGTGATATTACTCTGTGTGGCACCTGCTCTAGGAAGCCTTGTTATTCGTGGTGATGGGGAAGTTTGATCCTACTCTTCCAATCAACGAATCTGTTGAGATTCTGCTGCCTCCTGGTCGGGGTCCATATGGCCCGCAATCAGTCTTCATGTTAATCATTCTAATAGGAATGTATAGCTAAAGATTTCCTATCGATGTGTTTCTTGCTTCTGTCACGGCATGCTGCTTTATTGCCAGGGAAGACGTACTACCTTAACATGGTACTCAACTTTGTTTAGTTCATTGACGTTTGAGGGTGTAGGTTCCCACGGGTCCCCATACTTGCCATCTCTTTCCACACCTGAATAGCACATTTAGTCCTTGGGGATTATGGCATTTAAGCATCAATGTACGCCAATAGTGTATTATCTGTGTGGCACCTGCTCTAGGAAGCCTTGTTATTCGTGGTGATGGGGAAGTTTGATCCTACTCTTCCAATCAACGAATCTGTTGAGATTCTGCTGCCTCCTGGTCGGGGTCCATATGGCCCGCAATCAGTCTTCATGTTAATCATTCTAATAGGAATGTATAGCTAAAGATTTCCTATCGATGTGTTTCTTGCTTCTGTCACGGCATGCTGCTTTATTGCCAGGGAAGACGTACTACCTTAACATGGTACTCAACTTTGTTTAGTTCATTGACGTTTGAGGGTGTAGGTTCCCACGGGTCCCCATACTTGCCATCTCTTTCCACACCTGAATAGCACATTTAGTCCTTGGGGATTATGGCATTTAAGCATCAATGTACGCCAATAGTGTATTATCATCTATGTTGATGTTGATGATGTTGATGTTGATGATGATGATGATGATGACGATGATGATGATGATGACAGTGATGATCATGGCACTGGCGACAATGTTGCTGGTCATGATGACGGTGATAATGATGAATGGAAACGAACTATTACCTACACACCCACATAGCGTAGCCAAGGCAAAGGGGGCACAATACACACAGTCTCTGATTGAAAGGTACGCGTAGGCAATTTTAATTCAAAGAACTATAACAATGTTAAAAAGCTAAGAGGTTTACCTCAACAAATACATGGATATCAAAACTGAGAGTGGTCTATGCATGTAGTGCACACAGTCAAGCTAGTTTGTTAACTTACATGAGTGACTCAATCAGCGTTTGATTAGATTGAAATTGACCTGCTCCAGAAAGCCAGATCAACATAATGAATAACAACCCTACTCTTTTTTCAAGGGATTGTGAATAAAATCGACTCACAAAGTTGGTCTGTGCTCTGAGCCGAATCGCTGTCCGTCAAGGATTCTAAAACTCACTGCGAGGTTCGAGAAACCCATCAAAGGTGGTCTCCTCTGCTAATTAGGGGGAGGAGGTCTTGTTAGTATCCATACTAACTTTGCCATCAATACTGCTACTATTATTATTATCAATAGCAATTCCCTACCTTTATTGATACTATTGGAAATAGCAATAAACTCTCAGTTGTTTACTCTATCTATCTCTTTCAGTAGAAACGATCATGGGTTTCGAACTTGGGCTAGGCTTTCTGAATAGTCTTACTAGCGCTCGGTCTCAAGAGTTCTCCCACCTAGAAGACTTTGCCGATCGATTGAGTCACTTCTTCAGCTGCGGCCTGATTCTCATGCTTGCCGGAGTAACAATGGCCAATGTGTACTTTCTACGCCCGATTTCTTGCACTCTGCCGACGGCGCCGGAAAATCAGTTTGGTCAGTTTGCCGAATCTGTCTGTTGGGTGCGTGGGACTCTGGCCATCCACCATACTGAATCGATGCCCATAAGCCGGGCGGAGTGGGATATGATGCGCAGTAAATCTGATATATGTGAGTTACTTATTCTAATCGTGAAAACCAAACTGATTTGCAAATGAGTGTATTGCTCGAAAACAGTCCAATTTGGGTTCAAGTAGATCATAAGGTTGACGGAAACTCGGGGACTGCGCCTACCTACTGAGCCTCAAGAAGGGCGAAACCGGTCGGGGGCTGTCGAAGAGTTATCAGCAACCTTGTGAGTAGTTTCCTTTTTGAAAGTACGTGTAATATCCTTTCTCCTCTTGATAAGTGATAACTGGGTGGACTCGAAAGTCCATAGATTGTTAAATCAAACCAGAACAACCCATCCGAAGTGTAGCATAGTGCAGCGATTACTCTGCCATCAACACCTGTTCTCCACTAGAGTGATACTGATACGATTCGTGTGTGACTCTGTTTTTATATCTTTCTTGGCTGTCCAGTTCCCCTCCTGTATGGGTGCAGTTAGTCTGGACAGCTCACACCACTGAGGAAAAACAGTGGATTCGAGCTTCGATTCTAGTGTGATCACAGTGGGAACGCTGGCCATCGCATCCCAGGCAAGGCGAACCTGCTGCCACGGCAACACGTTTTTTTCAGCCTAACTGACTGCGTCGCTATCTCCATGTACCACAGAAAATAGGAACTGGCTGCTTTATCAGCTTCCCTGCTTAGGTGGCGAGTACCTGAGCTCTGAGCCAAACAGCTGATCTCCAGCAGGGGAACATTTTGAAACTCAAAACCATCTAGTGCCATTCATTACAGTCTTCTCCACTAGTGTTGATTCCTTTCTTCTATTTTTTTATATTGTACAACTCGATTCCCCTTTTTTGTTATTTTGGTCTATGCCTATACCACCCTTGTTGTTTTTGACCTGAACATAAACCGTTCTTTGATCTTGTCATCGGACGTGCTGTTTAAGTTCACACGTGGTTTCGCTAGCTTGTAAACACGTGGCTCCGAGTCGGCGTGGACTTTGAGACCAGTTAGGAATTGGCAGTTCCTAAACCGGTGTATAGAAGCCGGCATGGTCCCACGATTTGAGGTTTGTAAACCTTTATCATTTTATTATTGTACTTATAGTACCGCATTTGTAGATAAACCTCCATTTGAAGAATTGGCTTTTGGGGTTTTGCGCGTAACTTGACGTGGTTCAACAGATTGCTGGAATCAGTCTATAACTACCTGGTACTAATAATTAGAAGGAAGCCTATTTGTCAGAATCATATCAATCGCATGAGCGTTCTTGATTCACCCAAGCTGTTTGATCCATTCTTTCATCGAATGATGGCTGAACACAAACAGGAATGCAGTTTTTTCGTTCGAATAACAAAAATGTTTTCAACCTTAACGAGCCTCGTAGACTGGCTGGATAAGTTGGGAGTGGGACTATGCAATCGACTTAGGTAAGGAACTTTAAGAACTCTTTTAAGAACACTTTTATCCATTTTCCTGCGAAATTCCATATGATATTTTGACACTAGACCAGTTTGGTGTTGGTCAGTCCATCCTAAGAGACAATTTCAGTCCACCGAGCCAATCTTCTCCCATAGTTCTCTTTAAGTGACTAAATAGTCACTGGTTCACGTGTTTCACTTTCGTGTTTGGTTTGACATTCTCATGTGAACTTACGGTTGACGTAAGTCGTGGAAATGTAGTAATGTGTTCCGATTGATGCACCTCCAATCTTCCCGAGGTCCGAAACTGCGAACACCTTTGACGATGACGTCCTTCTGATCTAGAGATTACCAAACCGCTACGCAGGGGTCAAAAAATCCCTCGGGCAATCAGTATGGCTTTAACAGGGGTTCAAGTATTTAGGTCAAAAGTAGTTTGGGTGCTACCATGCTTGCTCAAGCTACGATGATTCTCCTCGTGTAAGAAAGTGGAATTCAATAAACCTGAATGTGTAGCTCACCACTCTAGAAAAGCTTGAATATCCGACAGCTTGCAATGAACACAGTTAATTAAACTCTTTTTTGAAACGTTTCAAGGCCACTCTCGTTTCTCAAGATTTTGCAACTCCATCAAGCATATGACTTGGAAATCTTTTAAAAAAATTTACTTCAGTCCTAAGGACACCGAATATGATTCTGGACTAGTAACTCAGACAAATGAACTAAACACATTCCACAGGATCTACTGGCTTCGCATGCCAGCGGGCATATGGAGGGTGGGAGAGGGCACGCAATTTTTTGTGACTTTTCATCTTGCCCAGCTGGAATCCTTTTCTATTGAATTGAATATTCAGAGCGATTTTTCCACGATAAAGTAGCCAGTCAGCACGTCATTCTAGATATGCGACCACCGATCTCCTTTACTGCAAATCCAATACCTTTCCGTTGTGTGTACGTGTGAGGGGAAATGGTGGATAAAGCCGGTGACAAGATTATCTAAAAAATCCGAATCATCTGCGCTGATTTTTGTCCAAACGAAATCAGTGCTGGTAACAAGTTACTGACACGAGTTGATTAGCCTGACTGTTTTTCACGTTGTGTGGATCACAGATGCGGTGAGGGTTTCTATCTGTGGTTGACGCTGTTCATGAGTTGCCACCACGGTGGGAGTTTAGTGATGTAGCTGTACGTGTGCTGAATGTGGGTTATCAGTGCTTCTGATTATTTTGTGTGTGTGTGTGATGAGTTTCCGTGTGACTTAGGTTCCTTAGTTTGTTGGATGCTTTTTTATAAATTTCGACGCTTACCCATGTTTTGAGTTGGAAGACAGATATGTCTCACCAACGTGGAATCTTTGTTGGTTGCTGGAAAGTGAAGGAGCAATCTCGTCAGCGGTACTTTCTGCTTTTTGATCGCTTGAAACAATGGGAATTCCTGAGTGTTTTGTTAACCATAGCCATTGGGAACACAGTGTGTTTGTAAAATTATCTTAAAATCCCAGAAGTTCATTGAGACGTCTGTGCGTCCCGTAGGAACAGAATTGCCAGGAGGATTTAGTTTCGGGGTTGTGTATTCTGGAGCCGACAGAGACATTTGTCAAACGTTTTGCGCTACTCACGAGTAGGATGTTTTTCTACAGAATTTAACCATCCATCCATGCGTCTTGACATCCATGCACTATCGTGCGATCCCAGCACGAATCAATGCCCGGCACATTGAAACCGACGAGCTGATGCCTTTTATTCGTATGAAGGATGAATTCTGTCCCCAGCTTATGCGGGATAAACTGCCGCAAGATGGAAAAGCACCCGGTAAAGATGCTGGATGAGTTCGGATAATAATTTTGAAGATACCCAGACGACCAGAGTTGAAGTTCAAATAAGAAAGTGTGGCGTGAGGTTGACGTACTCGTTAGTTCAGCTGTTGGGTTTTGATGTCCGACAAGACGAAAACCCCGCCTTTTGTTCGTTCCATGTGAAGATTTACCACTCCTTTTTCTTGAGGAAATCAATTTGGGACTGCTTTGCGTATGTTGCCTCCAAGGAGATGGAGTAAATCGGCCGTATTCGTTAAGAGGCGATCGCTCCGTAAGGGTACTAGAAAAACCAGGCCGGTACCTGGGGGATGTTTCACATTTGTTCCCGCTATGCTGTACCTTATTGTTCATTCCAAAGATCTTTCGAATCAATGGTAGACACTCGCAACCTCGTAGCTGAAAGCTCAATGCTGTTGTGCGTTTATTGAAACGTGGATCAATGAACTAATTTGCGCTGTAGTGAACTATACTGTTTTCCTGCTTTTCTAGTAAGAAAGATCATCACGCATGCAATATATGCACTCTGTGGAGGGGTGTAGTAAGTATATTCTAACGAAATCTGAAGCACGCCAGAAGGATAAATTAGATGGCACTTCCAACTTCAAGATGGTCAAATTACCTTTTCATTTGGACACCCTTCTCTCAGTCGGAAAATCAAGGTGAATCTAAAGAGTCACACCCTTCTATTGTGTATAGGGAACTAGAATGAAGAAGTATGTAAAGTTTGCAGATAGACTCGAACAATAAAATGTTCCTCCAAGTGATACCTTTGAGCTTTTCCGAGAGTTGTCATCTGGCGAACGTGGGCAGAGAGCCGACTCCCAGATAATTCACTGTTCATCTAACGTGTACTTCTCGCAATCACGCTTGTTGAGTAACCATGCCGTAACAGACATTGCAATCTCTGTCAGACTCATGGAAAAATACTGTCATCAAATGGCAGTAGATTTCAGTAACAGATACTTATTTTACAAACAGCCAGGTGGTCAAAAAAGACATCCAAGAAGACTCACTACTAGCATTCAATTCGTGATAATAAAAAAAACAAAGCGATAGGAGCCGTATTTCATTTAGCCAATAACTTCACTTTTCTCTGACTTGTTTTTCTCGTTTCAGCGTTCTACCAATGGGTGCCATTTTGTTTGTCCGTTCAAGCAATGCTGTTTTTCATACCCCATGCCATCTGGCAGTCACTGGCTTTGAATACAATGGGCGAGAACTTGGAGTCCGTACTAGCCAAGGCTCGAAGTGCGAATACTGCCGAGGAGAGTGAAAAGCGTACCAAGTTCGTGGAGTCCGCTGCACATCAGCTGTTTCGTTTGGCTCGTCAACATCAAGATCATCGCTCCACACGTTGGGCTAGGCTCCAACGTCGAGCAGCCTCATTTCCCGGGGGTTCAATCTGCGTACCTGGGAAACGCATGGGCAATTGTGTGATGGTAGCGTATTTGTTTGTGAAAGTCCTCTATTTCGCCAATGCACTCGGACAGCTCTTTCTTATCCGCACATTTCTCGGATTTCACGGTAACCTGTTCACTTTTGGCGAAAAACTGGTCGGAACCTTGACCGCGAAGCGAGAGTGGGAGGAGAGTGAGTTTTTCCCAAGACAAACCTATTGTCCGGTTGAAGTACGCAATCTGGGTACCAAGTCCAATTTGTACACGGCCATTTGTGCCTTACCAGTCAATATGTTCAACGAGAAAATCTACATATTTCTATGGTTGTGGATCGCCGTCGTTGCCGTGGTGACTGCACTCAGCTTCTTCGTTTGGATTGTTCGATTGGGGTGGCAACGTAGTCAGACCAACTTCGTTCGCGAGTACCTTGTTTTGTCCGTTCAGAGTCTTCTAAACGAACCTGGTCGTGAACATCCTACGGAGTGTAGTGCGTGCTCAGTCAGTGAAGATGACCCAGAGCTACAGCATTTTATCCGCGATTTCGTACGTGGAGATGGAACCTTCCTGTTAAGAATGCTTCGAGCAAACGCGGGAGATGTAGTGACCGGAGAGATTTTGAGCAAATGGTGGCATCTATTTGTCGAGTACGAAAAGGCTGAGTGTGCCATGTTTGAAAAGCAACGTCTGAGCAGCACAGAGTCACTTACGAAAAAGGAACCATTTGGAACTGTGGAACATGAGAAGAGCCTCATGGCAAATGGATCCGCACCGAAATTATCCAAGTTTGTCTAGTTCCCGGAACTGCTGGTGCTTTAGAACTTTGGTCATTTCCTGAAACTGAGATCAAAGTCATACCGTCATCATCAGAAACAACCCGCCACATCTTTTTGTGTCCAAACCTGAGTGACCAGCTTTTACCCGGATATTATTTGACTCCGAATTCGAAATTCACATGGATTTTAAGTAAAACGTTACCGTCCATTATATCTCCCTCCCGATTTTGAACTTTCATAACCCTTCCATCTTAGTTTAATTGGTGAATTTTTGAAAAATAAAGTTACAAGTAAATAACGAATCTTGGTCTCCGTCAGGTTTGAATAACCCAAAGGCGACTGAGGTTAATTGAGAGACGCCTCACATAACAAAGATATCATACAGAAGATGTGGGATGAGAATACGCCTATTCTCGTCTTAGTAGACAAGTTGAGTTAGAGTGTGGGAAGAGCGAAGTTGGTCAGCGAAGGTGCACTGTTGCATGATCTACCGACTGAAAGAAGCCATGAATAGAAACAAGGCAACATAGTACCGGTTTTACAAACGAAGGCAATTGGATTGTGTGGACGAATGACGTTGGTAATTGATCAAGTGGCTGTTGATCTTTTCGCCGAGCTTAGCAATTGGTTCGCAAACATTTTGTCACCATTTAAGGAGACATCTTGGGTGGGTAGTCTCTATTAGGTGAGTAGTCTCTCTCTTCGTGCTTGCATTTATATAGCTTACAAAGAGCAGGTTTTGCGCTGCAACCTGATTGCTCATTGATACTCGTCGTACGTGGATTCTGGTTGGTACGATCATAACCTGTATTGCGTTGTGGTTTCTATTTCTTGCTCGCTAAGGACACGCTGCCTTGGAAACTGCCGTCCAGCGCAAAAGCTGTTCTTTGTAAACTATGTGCTAGCACACCAGCGCAAAAGCTGTTCTTTGTAAACTATATGCACGCTAGCACGAAGAGAGGGACTACCCACCTAACAGCTCACGTTTGCAAATCAATTGCCAAGCTCGGCGAACAGATCAACAGCCACCTGATCAATTACCATCTAATGCACGCGAGCTATCAATATCCCAATATCAATCAATCAATCAACCAATCAATATCCCAATATCAATACCAGACGAACAAACGTTCAGACAGTGAGCTTTAAACGGCAGACATGTGGGATATAATGCACTTGGTGGAAAAACAAGAGGATACGAATACCAGAAAACTCCTAATTAATAGTTTGGTCTTTTGAGAAACCAACTTTTTGGTGGAACGCCAAACTTAGTATGGAGTGAGAAGGTGTCCGTTTCTTCATGCTACATAGCAGCCCTGGATGGGTGCGCTGATGTCATCCCCGTTTGGATAACCTTCCTCCTACCATTATGGTTGGTCCATAGGAAAGAGAGGCCATCTGACTCTGGTCTTTGCTTACCAGAGTTCGTCAATAGAGAATATCCCTGGTCTTACTAGGACTTGAACCCCGGACATCTGACATGCTGGGCCGCTGTAATAGAGCTGCTCCATTGACGTACGTGAGGCACACAGGAAACACCAATCTTTGAGCAATATGACTGGTTTGCATGATGGCAACTCGGCTTGTGTCGATTGGTAGACCCACCCATCAAGAGTTCCTAGTCAGGTACCGTCAACAAGAATAATTGCTCCGGGACAACAGATGGTTCATACGAAAGCGCTTTAGATGGAAATTATGCGAATCGCCCAGCCATTCACAATCCTATGTGTCTTCAATGTTCGTAATCAGTTCCTGTGAGAAGGATCCCATCATCAGGAAAGTCACATGGGATATTATGCATCAGTCGATGTCGATGTTTTGAGCTACTGCAGGTATAAGTCATGCTGCCAGACTGGAGGCACATTTTGGAATAACGGTAACGCCTTCAGGTACCTCAGGTGTGCTATGTATATTAATTTACACTCCCAAGACATCGACGGTAAGTGGGCATGATAAAACAAGCTTGCGGTCTTCCCCATGTCGGCTGTGTGGCGATGAGTCCTGAAGACATAGAATTCGCCTCCAGCTATTTCAGTCTGCAGCGCTGGTACATTCATTCCACTAGAATGTGTCGTCCCTGAGTTTCCGTCAATCCTATTACCTACTTATAAGCAAATTGGACGCCACTGGCGAACTACACTTATTCATAACCGGCTACACAACTAAACACAGCCGAATCCCTTGTTTACGATATCACTCAGCAGCAGAAGATTTATCAGCAATCTCTAAGCAAACATACTGCAATATAGCGAATACCGAGTAAACTGAGATATGAAGCGTCGTTTGAGCAGCACGTTCGGTTGGAGAATTGTATAAAAAAGGGACTTAGCGGTGACTGAGCTGGATCCAACCTTAAAAACCAAACCAGTGTGCGAATGAATGCATGTCCGGTGAATACGCTTACACAGAGATCTGGGGGATACGCACAAGAAGAAAACATTGACTGACACCACGCGTACTTCATTGGAACTAGAAATTGTACGTGCTATCTCACCGGACACGCGTTTTATGATGACACCGGGAAAGAAGACACGGATTCGGAGTCTCGGAAACTCATTCTCTCCATATCATTCTGCTACCGGATGTTTTCTTGGCTATGTCATCAGCATCATCATCATTGTCAGCTTTAATAACCACGAACTCGTCGTACAGTGACTTTAGCTGCCGCAGTTTCGTCCACCGATGATTTGGGGAAGGGGGTTAGCTGCGCATTGCAGGTAAAAGATGATAAGTTGGTGCATAAATCCAGCAGTGGGCTGTCAAGTGCAGGGATTGGAAAGGGAGCTATGCATTGAAGGCAATAGCTTGAAAGCACGAGCGCTATGAAAACCAACGCGTTTGCCAAAAACCTCTCCATAAGATTTCGGGAGACAGTCCTCTAGGAACATCACTTAATCACCCTGTGAAAGCATTGAAACCCCCGTCGAAAATTAATAGAAATGAACTGAATACCGAACATGTTTATTTCATCATGAGTGTTCAGACAGAGTTGGTAGCTCACTTTCGCTTTCGTCGCCTCCATGCTGGAACGTGCAAGGGCTTGTCATACACCTCGAGTGAGCCTCGTGTGAGCAAATGATGAATTAGTATGGGAAGGATAATTGCAAATGTCACATCCACAACGAGATAGCTGATGATCAGGACCAATGTTTTGATGGTGAACTTGGAGCCAAACCACCCATCGGGAACGTCCAGTGGTGCTTTCTCGCCACGGCTGTCCAGCAGATATAGGTGATTCAGGGAGTATAGACTATAGTTGGCCGGCATATCTTCCATTTTGTGAGAATATCTGTCTATAAATTCAAAATTGCACGCATCACGTGAGCAGACTATCAATCGATAGACACCAAGGTGCCAAAACACTGCTTTCATAGACACTTGCGCACGAAACCTATAGGACTGAAGGTGACTTGTAAAAAACTTATGAGGGTGCAATGATAGATTGTAAGCTCACCACTTCTCAAGTCGGAGCTTGAGAATAAATGAAAGAAACTGAGATGAAGCTAAATTAAGTGTGGATGGGATGGAGAAGTTCGCTTGAACAATATCGTTGACGGAATTTCTTGAAAAAGATTTCAGAAATGGTTTCTCTGACCGTTTGTTCATAATTAGTGTCGCGTAAATTTGAATAATAATTGGATCACTTCAACTCTTTCGTTCATGTTTTATGCTCTCTACATATATCCAGATGCAGATTATGACATGAAAACGGATAGTCAGAGAACCCCCAGTGAAAGCATCCGAGCAAGCAAAGTTCATCAGAGCCCGCTTCATCAAGGGAAAGCGAGGTTAGACATAAATCATTGTCGCTTACACACTGAGAGTTTATCAGAACCAGAAATGTTTGTGTTGATGATACATTGGGGAGAAACGTTGAAAATAGTTCAATCGTACCGCGTATTACCAGATATCTTATCTGATTCATCGAAAATTATAGAATGATCAAGGATAGCCCATCCCTGTCCAGTTTACATTATACAACCTTTTGAAGAGCACCTACATCATCATCATCATCATCGACAGCATGACATCAGTGTTCAACACCGATGCTTCACTGCCGTACAACCATGAATTATTTGAAAGCCTTATTGTAAAGAAAAGAGTAAAGGTGGACGGGGGAGGGACTTAGTGCTAGCTTAACACAATCATTCCGAGGTGACTACACCTCCAGACATTCACTCAGGCAATCTGGATAGAAACTGACAACAAGAACGCCATTGACATCGGTTATCAACCATATCTTGTAGTGTCTTCAACCAGGCATAGTGAGGATCACGCGGTCCCCATCCTGGAACGCGAGTAGCACCGACAGCACCCAAGCGTTTCGTGGACACCTTCATACTCCTCTGCCAACTCAAGGGTTGGCCACCTCTCTGTTTACGTCACTCTGAACTGGGCATGGAAAGCAGCACTCTCTTCGTCAAACGATGGTTTGGTATAGGCAACACATGTCCCAACCAACGCAGCTTCTGATGCTGGACACATTCTTCGATGGAATTACCTGCTGCACAACCGAAAGCGCGCTTTCTAACTGCTTGGTTACGGATTCGCCGACACCCACCCACACGAGCTATGGTTGTCGAACACCTGAAGACGTTCCAGTTGGCTGCTCAAATAGGCCAAGTCTCACAGCCATAAAACAAAACACCTGAATGAAATATGTTCCGTAGGAGATTGAGTCAAAACTTCACAAGAGCGCTCAACCCTGCAACTTTAATAGCGCTAGAAAAGACCAACTAATTCTAACACACGCTCTTACTGTGGATACTTTCTTCCGCGTATTTGTCGTGGCAAGTATATCCGAAGAAAATAGGGTGGGTTGGTGAGGTTGTTGAAAAATATACATTGCCCGTGATCTGCTTGGCTGTTCATCTGTCCACCTCGATCCAAATGCCAAGCTCGGCCGTGAAAAGTGCCAAGCAAGTTAACACTTAGTGGCTTAAAAGTCCTATCCAGTGCAATCGTTATCGATGACTTCTAAAAACCCAGACATTTATTCAAAGTCATAAATTATCAT